GAGAGACAACCAGAGAATACGGAAAGTTAACACACTGTAGAGGAAGCATGAGCCCTCACCCGTGTACCACTACATATGTAACACAAGTCACAGATGAGAGGAGAGGCCAGAAGGAACAGGGTCAACACTGAAGAACTGAGGGCCAGACACTTTCGGAAATTGATGGAAAATGTTAATCTATACATCTAAGAAGCTGTTCAGACTCCAACAGAACAGACTGAATGAGAACCACACACAGGCACAGAAAGGCAAACTATACAAAAACCAAGGATGAAGAGTCTTGAAATCATCAAACAAGGGATTCACTCTGTTCAAGGACCCTCCACAGGATCAGCAGCTGACTTTACACTGTGGACCCAGAGGTCAGAAGACAGTGGAAGACAGGCTAAGAACTTAGAGAAGTACTCTCAGCCAAGAAGTCTGTGCTAGGTAAATTATCCTTCACAGAGGCAGGAATAATTAAGCATTCTTGATAAAACTAAAACAGAGAATGTGTGGCTAAAAGATCTTCCAGGCTTAAGAGAAAGGTATTACTGAATTCACTGGAAAATAAAAGGCTCTTGAAAGTTAAGCACTTATAGAGAAGAGTATAATGCATGTTTTGTTATTCTGTCTTTATTTTATCATGCCTGAAAGACATTTAAAGAAATATGTCTCTTTTAATGAGCATGCATATGTAAAGGTGTAACTTGCTGAATATAATTACCTGAAGTTGGAAAACCAAGAGTAGAGGCAGAGATATGCAGGAACGAGGCTTTTGTTCATTATTCAAACTCATCTGATAGTAATTAATATGAATTATATTTATATGCATTAAGATACTAATTATAATCTTCATGAAAACTAAGAATAATACAGAAAATATTATTTTTTATTTATGCATATTTAAATATATATGGCATATATTTAAATAATAATGAAATCTGAATGCAAGAGAATTAATATGACAATATGAAAATAACGATTTACACACAAAAAGCATGGGTATGGTGGCACCTTCCAGTAATTCCAGCACTTGGAAGGCTGTGGAGGAAGGATCATGAATTTGAAGCAGGTATGGGTTACACAGAAAAACCCTGTCTCATAGAACAAATCAAAACATGAACAAACAGAAAAACAGAAACCTGAGAGAAGGCAGTAGAGGCATGGAGGAATGAAGACGGGTGTAATTGCCATGGGAAAAAGCAGCAAAATGTCATTCATGAGCCCTTTGCTAGCAGAAATGGCATCGACATATCAAACACTCAGAAGTCAGAGATTAGAAGAATAGATTAGTCAGGCATAGTGGTGTATACCTTTAATTCCAGCACTCTGAAAGCTGGACATGGTAGCACATGCCTTTAATCCCAACACTTGGGAGGCAGAAGCAGGTGAATCTCTGCAAGATCTAGGCCAGCTTGATCTATATCGCAAATTCCAGGTCAGTTAAAGCTACAGGGAGACATTATGGAAAAGAAGGGGAGGGGGGAGGAGGAGAAGGAGGGGGAGAAGATTAAAAACCAAGCGGCTATGTTCTGCCTGTAAGAAATACATACATACATATACATATATGTGTGTGTGTGTGTGTGTGCATGTGTGTATACTTGATTCAAAGATACAAATGAGTTCAAGTGTGCTCATTCTTGAAATGCCTGAGAGGCCAGAAGAGGGTGTTGGATCCTCTGGAACTGGAGTTTTCCAGTTGTTAGCTACAAGGTGGTTGCTGGGAACCAAACCCTGGCCTTCTTTAAGAATAGCCAGAACTGCTGAGCTGTCTCTCAAATCCCAAAATTAGAAATTTTGAAAAACATATTTTATTTTTATTTTGTATTTATGAGTATATTGCCTGCATGTGTATAAGTACATGACAGATCAGAAGAGGGCACTGGATTCCCCTGGAAATGAAGTTACAGATGGTTGTTAGCTAGTGCTGGGAACCACACCTGGGTCCTTTGCAAGAAAAGCCAGTGGTCTTAACTACTGAACCGTCTCTCCAGTCCCTCAAAATTAGAAATCTTAACAGAAAGAATTTTAGGAAATTTGTAAGTACATAGAAATTAGCTTTATGATATGAATTATACTCCTCCCAAAATTCACATGCTAAACTCTTTAACTCCTTGAAACTCAAGAGTGTGGTCATATTTCAAGATAAAACCTTTATTGAGGTCGTTACAGTGAACCCAAATCTAATCTATGTGGTATCGTTAAAAGGAAGGACATTTGGACATAGAATATACATCACCAGAAATTCTCATAAAGGGTTCACTGTTGAGGCTCCACTGGTGTTAATTAGTATGAAGTAGACTGATATACAGGCGTGTGAGGACAAGGGAGGCACAGCTTCTTAAGCTGAGGAGAAAAGCCTGAAGACGAATCACATCAGCATCTTCAAATTGCTTCTCTGTTCTCCATTGCTGTGAGGACTTTCATGTGTAATCCACCCAGTCTATGGTGTTTTGTGATGACAGTGCTCGAAAACCAACACATCCACCAGCAAACTTCTAAATAACCAGTCCACTAAGGAGGAAATCACAGTAGACCTTAAAACTCATTTCAATGGATGAAATGAAGAAAATACAACATAACAAAAAACTACTAAGATACTAAGTCTAGGTTAAAGGGATTGACAGCGGACAATGCTTACTTGTTAAAGAAAGACTTCTCTTTTGAGTTAAGTTATAGATTCACAAAAAATAAGTGTCCTGGCTTTATCTCGTGCAGGTGAACACAGCTGCTGTGAGGTGAGTTCATGAGGGCAAGAACCATGCCAAGAAGAGAGAACAGCATTTCACAGCACTCTGCCCCATCCCCCAACTCTTATATACTTGCCAGTCCCTCTTCTGAGATGTTCCCCGAGCCTTAGGAGGGGGCTTGACACAAAGTTGGAACTATACCTAGTTTACATAGTTATTATAGATAGCATTGTTTGATGTCCACTGAATTCTCCTCTGACAACCATCAGCTGCCCAAGACCTCACCAAGCCCTAGAGTGGAGAATGTAGGCCTGCCATTATTTTGGGAATTCATGTTGAGATTCTGCCATTTATCAACTCTCTGGCTCATCCATGGCTCAGTTTCTCCACCTTAGAATGAAGATACTAGTGCAGCCTCTTAATACTGGATAAAGAAAAACACAAACAAGACTTGCCAAGGAAGAGGGTCAGTGGAGAGCACAGCAGGTGTCAATGTGGTCCCCAGAATGCCCTCTTAGGAATTTGGGAGTCTAGTGAGTGTGAAGAGGATGGAGCCCTGCACTCAGTCTCATGTCAGCTGGAATCCTGACTTGATTAGGAGGCCTGCTCTTTCCCTTGATATGTGCCACAGACTTGTAAACCACTCTATCTCGCACTCACATCTTAAATAAATATGGGAGTAGATCAGGTTTATGATCCTAAAGGAGTAGAAGGGAGTTCTGGGTATGGCAGTGGAATGGTGCCCACAGGTCCAGGCTATGCAGTAGCACAGACTGTCAGAAGTATCCTGAGTGCATAGTGGAGATGGAGATGATACTAAAAAATAGACTGAGATGGGCTGAGCTAGGAAAATCTGTTCAAAAAGTACCCAGTGTCCTTCTTAGTGACCCTAAAATCTGAGTTGACTTAGAGCAGGACATGTGTATTTAAGCAGTGGTGCTCTGCAAATGCATGATCCCATCATGTCAATGACATAACTTCTATTTTCCTGCTCTCTGATTCCCTTCTTCATTGGTGACCTTTAGACATACGGTGCCTTGACTTGAGAAAGACTTAAGGAAGGGAACCCAAGGCTGCTCACAGAATGCTGGCTGCATGGGCCTCATCATACCCCTGTGTAGAGCAGCAGACAAACAACCTTCCACGGCTAGATGGTGTGCAGGAGCAGCTGGGCTGTTGAGATTTCATGTTTTTCTGCACAGGTACTCAGAGTGCCTGAAATGGTAAGAGACAAGACCCCAGAAGTCTGGGATGAACTGAGGATAGAGAGGCAGGTGTCTTTACATCAGATTTCAGGTCACAGAGAGGAAACACAATCAAAAGGCAAACACGCCTCAGGAATGTGAGGCTGACCTTGAACATCTGTGCTCCTTGTACAGTGAGTGTCATAAATGAATAAAGAGTGGCTGTTTCTGGGCATGGTGGCTTGTGGTTGTAATTCCAGTACTAAGGTGCTAAGGAAGGCCATCCAAGAGTTCCAGGACAGCTTGGGCTACATACAGACACTGACACAAATTAAGCAATAACAAAACCAAGACAACAAAAATGTAGCCGTTGTTTTAATTACATGTTTGTGCAAAAATGCATCAGTGACATTTTTTAAAACTCTGATGATGCTGCTCACCGTGGAGGCTAGTGTTGTGCCTCAAGACTCAAGGACTTTTCTAGAAGGACTGACATTCTAGGACACTGTAAGTAACAGGGGCTATAACAGTGCCCCATGGCATTGCATGTTTAATGAATTTACCTTTGCTTTCAAATGGACACACAGGTCATCATCAGCTGTGATTTTTTTTTTGATAATTGTTACGTAGTTTGGTCTGTGTGACATTACTGTGCGACACGGCTTTGTCCCCTAAGGCTCTGTGACAATGGGAGGAACAGGGGCAAGGGCTAATGGCACAAATGGAAGTTTGATGGACAAAATGCAAACTGCCATTGATTTAAGCCAATAGGTCCACACCAATTGCAAAAGAGTCAGTGCTCTATTGCCTAGCGTAGGAATTCCTTTTAAGTTTGTTTTCTTTGTCCTACAAAGGAAGGACATAGAAACTCAATACTTCAAAATAATACACTGCAGAATCTGTTCCAATTTCTCATTCATTTCCGTGGCTATCATGGGTAATTAAATGGCAAAGGCATGTAACATGTTTGGACATAAGAAATACTGGGGATAGTGGGTAAATGAAGTGAGATAGCACAGTGATTGACCCTTGCCCTCTGGCTTCCATGGCTGTTGTCTGGAATATTACTGAAATGTTGCCAGTTTGGATTCAGCGTATGGAACGTTCTTTCTCCAACACCTTTCTCCTCTCTCTTTTCTTTCAGTGCTTCGACTCCTGAAGGAGGGGGCAGACCCACACACTCTGATTTCTTCAGGAGGGTCCTTACTCCATCTGGTAAGAACTGACCATCAGTGGGGACAGGTGATAACAGCTAGAGACAGAATAAACGAAGGGTCAGGAGTCCATCCCAAAATGTGCATCCAACAAGAACCAGAAAAATGGTGTGGTTCAGATTGACAGTGGATACTGAAGAAAAAAAAGACTGTAAATAATCTTTAACAAATATAGTGAGAGGATCTGTCCTAAAGAGAATTATTCCATTGAATAGTGTATGCAAAATAACACGGGGTCAATTCAACAGTAGGAGGCAATGGCCCATCTTTTACTTCTAGTAGTTTTCATTTTGGCTCTAGTGGAATTTTACTTTACCTATGATCTGACTCATATAAGTGAATAACATTCATCTTATATTCTTTTGGAATCGAAGCCTAGATCATCTAAGTAAACAAATTAAGTGTACAACTACAGAGAAATTATACTGGGTCATGTGTTTTTTTTCTGGTTTAGTTAAGAATAAAAATTAGTGAAAGGCAATAATTATTTGATTAGTGCATGTCCTTGTTTGCTTTCTATTGCTGTGATAAAACACTGTAACCAAAACCAACTTGTTTAGGAAAGAGTTTATTTGGCCAACACATCCTGATTCCTGATCATCCTTGAGGGGAGCCAGGACAGGGACTCAGAACAGGAATGTGGAGGCAGGAACAGAAGCACAGACCATGGGAAAACACTGCTTACTGGCTTGTTCCCTGGGCTTGTGCTCAGCCTGCTTTCTTATACACCCAGGACTACCTCCCCAGGGGTGGCACCAGCCGCAATGGGTGGGGCCATCCTACGTCACTCAACAATCAAGAAAATGTCTCACTGGCATTCCACAGGCCAATCTGATAGAGGAAATTCTGTAATTCAGGTTCCCTCTTTCTGGGTGTGTCAGGTTAATAAACTGAAGCTATCCAGCACAGTAGGCCTTTTGTAAACTTGACGTACAAATGCATCACTATCAAACCATAGTCTTTACATTTCTTGTCTCCAAGATGTTGTGTTAAAATTAATATCTATTACAGTATAAAACATAGGATAACCTTAAAATCCCACAGTCTTTAAAAAATTCAAACACTTTAAAAAAGTTCAAACATCTCTCTTAAAAAGTCTTAACCATGGACTCCTATAAAATCCAAAAAAATTACTTTACTTTCTTATTTCAAGAGAGAACCATGGCACACTTAAGCAAAACCAAAGTCCAGTAGTGTAGGCATCTAGGATTCACTCGTGATCTTTTCAGTGCCAAAGGGCATGGGCAGCTCCACTTCTCTAGCTCTGCCTTCCACAGCATACACGGCTTGTCTCATGGGCTCAGGCTGGCTCCACTCCACACCTGCCACGGTCCTTGATGTTCATCCAATGGTCCTGGCATCTCCAGTGGGGTCGCCATTGCAACTGAGCTGTGCTTTCACTAACGCCCTTCCTGTGCTCCCATGACGGCAAGCCTCAGCTTCTTGTCACGGACCCTGCAACCCACTGGGACCGAGGCTGCACTTTCACTAATGGCCTCTCCTGCCCTCTCACAATGCAAAGACTCAGATTCTCTCCATAATCCCCTCAAGTCTGCAGCTTTCTTGCTGCCAAAACCAGTACCAGGTAGAGGACTCGTCCATATTTCCCAGTTCTGCTTCCAGCTGGAGGTGCAGGCCTTGTTCCCCTCTGGACCACAGCTTCTGGATGTTAACCCTGAGGAAAGACTTCCTCAATGAGACGATTTCACTTCAGTGGTGCCGGTCTCTTGATAATCACAGCTGATTCTTCAGCCCCCGCTGACCAGAACCCATAGACTCTCAATTCAGAATATCACACAAGCAGCCCTGGTAGTCTTTGCGTCCCTTGAAACTTCCACAAGCCAGGCCTCGATTGTCTCCATTTCTCTCAGCATTACCCTTCAGGTTCCCACAGAACAGCTCACTAAGCTCTGAGCAGGGAACTGTTCTTCCAGTCCAAAGTTCCAAACATTTCCACAACTCCCTCCCATGAAAAGGAGCATAGCTCACTCTCCATGCCAGTTTTTGTTCTAGTTAGATTCTCTGCTGTGACAAACACTATGACTAGAAGCAGCTTGGTTGAGAAGAACAGGGTTTACTTGGCTTATGCATCCCAGCCACAGCTCATTGCTGAGCAAAGTCAAGGCAGGAACTCAAGGTGGGAACCTGGAGGCAGGAGCTGAGGCACTGATTATGGATTGTCAACTAAAACAAGCAAGGATGGTATATTTCTTCCCATCACAGCAAAATGCATGATACAGGTCTCGGATCAGTAACTCTACCAGAAACGTCTCAGCATCACACTGACTTTTAACCTTCATTGCATTATAGAATCACTGGGAGGTATAAAAACACTAATACTTGACTCTCAGTCTGGGACCACTCCAAAGATCTAGATTTAATTTTCAGAGGATGTAATTTCTCCAGTATATGAGAGTGGGTGCTGGCCCTGTGGGATACCTGACATTATTTATTTATTTTTCACAATGTATATTTTTAATGAATTTTTGTGCATTTCATACAATATATCTCAATCACATTTAGATCCCCTCCCCTATCCTCATCCTCTTTTGTTCACACCCAATGATCCTTTCATCAAAGTCACACACACACACACACACACACACACACACATGCATGCACACCATTTTTTGCTTCTGTACACTGAATGGAGCTAATGCATTACGTACGTTTTCCTGTCTGCTAGACTGAACTTTCAATGCTGTGACTGTCACAGTCATTTTTGTATTCTCAGCAGGCGATGCATAGTAAACACACCGTGAAGGAATGAGAACGAAAGGCCCCTCAGGATACAGGATCTCTTCGGTTAATGAGGAGGTAGTTATTTCAGACCTAGTCATCGAATAGAAATATTCAGAAAGGGTAGAGGCAGACAACGAAGGCGTAAAAGACTAAGGTGATGAGACAGTTCAGAAACACCTCACCACCTCCCAGGCTGAGGCAGGTGTGTTGCATTTTGATGCATAGGCTGTGAGATTCAACCTGGGAGGCTGGGTCTGGGAGATATTCATGGAAAAGGGGCTGTGGGTAAAGCAGGGGGGGCTCAGTGCTATACTCTCCTTTTGCTGGCAGACAACGAAGGCGTAAAAGACTAAGGTGATGAGACAGTTCAGAAACACCTCACCACCTCCCAGGCTGAGGCAGGTGTGTTGCATTTTGATGCATAGGCTGTGAGATTCAACCTGGGAGGCTGGGTCTGGGAGATATTCATGGAAAAGGGGCTGTGGGTAAAGGAGGCGGGGCTCAGTGCTATACTCTCCTTTTGCGGAGGTTACTGAGTAAATAGAACAAATGAACAATTGCAGGTTGCTAGAGAAACAAAATTACAGGGTTTCAGATGTTTTAGGTGCTGAAGGTGGCAATTTAGGCATCTAGAATGTCAGGTGTGAGCGGTCCGGTGGCGTGCCCTGTCTTGTGGGCATCCCACGTTAGGAAGCCTGACTACGTGTCTTAATTATATACTCTTCCATCACTGTCTTAGAAGGAAGCAGCATCTGTGTGTGGGGGCAGCTCATGAATAGGCTGTGGAGACTGCTGAGGTTTCCCAGAGTTGTGTTTAGTGAACTCCAATGTTACTTGTTGAATACCTTATTCTAAGTGCTGGTTTCTGCAAGGCATTTCTCTTAGATGTGCCAGAAAAACATTTGCACTGGGAATTTAGCTGTTCCTATAAAGCCCAAGGTTGATATCTGAGGAACAGGATTAATGGTTTTTGTTTTATGTTTCTCTTTAGCTTCTGTTTAATGTCTTTTTTCACAAACACATTTGATAAGGTCTGCTTGGCTACCAGTTATTAAATAATTCATTTATCAAAAAAATGGCAGGCATCAAATACTGAGTGAGAGACAGGGAGGTATGGCAAAATCAGCACTGGCCACACCTCAGGAAGTTTTCTCCTGAGGATGCCATAGAAGAATCCATAGATTTAAACCTTTTTAAGAATTTATGAAGTAAAGAACAGAATTACATTAGCCTTCTTAAAGTGTTTGGGATTGTATCATTGTGTTTAGTAAATGAACCTCTGGGAAGAAGTTACCAATGGTCACAAAATGGAGAGTGGCCACTGAGGGTGCTGGAGTATTCCTAGATCACACTCAAGCTTGACTGAAATTCTCTAGAAATTAAAAATGCCCTTCTACTGAATGGATTCTTGTTTTAACACAAAGACAGACATTCAAACCAAAGAGTAGTTCATGTAGCTGCTATAATGTACATGAAAATATCCAGGAATATAAGTCCACACAAAAGCACGTTAAAGAAGAATTGCGTGGGGTGCAATTGAGTAGATTTTGGGAAAGAGAAGAGAGGAGAAATCACAAGAGATGGGAGAGAGAGACAGAGAGAGAAACAGAGAGAGAGACAGAGAGACAAACAGAGAAAATAGATAAATAGATAATAAATAGGTGATGGAGAGGATAGAGAGTATAGCTGATGATAAGGAGAAAGAGAGATAGATAGATAGAGAATATACACATAGATGACAGATGTTGGAGAAGATAGAGGGATAGATGTTATACAAGATATATATTTTGAGAGATGATGGTAGATGATAAAGAGATAAATGATAGATTGATAGATGATTGATCAAGATCTAGATGACTGAAAGATGATAGATAATAGATGCTAGATAGGGAGGTGATGATAGATGATTGGAAGATAAATAGGAGATAAACATACAGGTGATGAGCAGATTGAGAGATAGATTATGATAAATGATAGAAAGGGAGAAGGTAGATTATAGGATAGATAGATGATTGATGGACAGACAAATAGATGACAGATAGATCATCAACAATTTTTACTAAATCAGAGAAAGTATCCTGAAAGCTAGACAAGAACTTAGAAAAGTAACACACTGGGGGAAGAAAACAAAGTATTGAAATTATTCCCATTTTCTTTTCCATATTGAAATTTTTGAGACAGGGTCTCCCTCTAGCCCCAGATGTCCTGGAACTCACTATGTAGACCAGGCTGGCCTTGAACTCACAGAGATCCACCTGG